TAGACTGATGCTATGGCACTCTAGCCCAGGTAGCAGAGCGAGACTCTATCTCAAAAAATATAAATAAATAAAAATAAAAAATAAAATAGTTTTGTTTATGGCAAGACTGGAAGTGTAATTTGCATAGAGTAAGTTGATTAAGGACATTTTGATTGTATATACAGTACTTAGGATTCTAGATTTTTAAAAAATGAGTTGGCATTTTGTTTTAATTTTTCCAAGTAGACTTAGTTTAGTGTTTAGAAAGAGTGCTAGTGTTCCTTGGGAGTTGTCAACTGTCTCCTCAAATAATCTTTTACTGGATTTGCAACACTGGAAGCCTAGTATCACCATCGTAAAGTTCTCATTAGAGCAGTTTCTACTGGCATCAGAAACCTTTTTATCTCATTTCGTGCTAGAGTGAACTTTTTAAATTCTTATAGAGTTATATCTTGGTGTAGAAAAGTAAACTTTTTACTTCTGTTTTCTGTAACTTAGGCTTGAAAAAATGGCTAAAAGAATTGCTGAGAAGGAATTAACAGACAGGAACTGGGATCAAGAAGATGAAGCTGAAGAGGTAAAAAGTAGTTTCGTTAAGAATAATTTTCTGCTTCTTCTGTTAATACATGTAAATTCATTTTGGAGGTTCCTCATAAAGATTTGTGATAGAATTAAAAGACATTTTTAAGAGCATCCTGAATGGGAGATAATATGGTTCCTTATAACCTGTTAGTGTAGAAGTTTATTACATACTTTGGGTGTGCTTTTCTACGGCCACCTACTCCTTAAATACTCTCCTTTGTGGAAGCACCTTCCTCCTGAATTTCATATACTGGCAGCATTCTGAATCCATGGATTTGAGTAAGTTATTTTAGTCATGACTAAAAGGTGAGTTAAGTGAGCTAGTCATGACCTTGGCACAGTGACTGTGCTCAGAGGTGAAAAGTGGTACACCATCACCATCTCAGTCTGCTGTAATCCCTTACTCGACTGCTTTTTGGAGGCCTGCTTTATTTCCTATTTTTATAATAGCTCTGACACCCCTAACAATTGCACTAATAGGAGCAGAATTTAGATTGGCCCAGTTTCCTTGCCAGCAGAATGCGAAGGATCTTCCCTGAGGAAATGTTATTTTTCCCTTATGAAGAATAGAACACAACTGTATTTCTAGTGCCTTACCAGCAGTTTGATATTGCCAGACCACTTAGCTAAGGAAATCTTTAACCAAATTAGCCTTTCAAGTTAATGGTGTAGTGCAAAGTTAAAAAAAAAAAAAATTTAAAAAACCTGTAAAAGTGTTTCTAAGCTTCTTGTTAGACTGGTAACTTCCTTCTTTCTGAATCTTTCTAGTACTAATATTTTTTTCCTTTACACATACATGTAATCTAATATGTTCAGGGAAACCAAAATCACAAATATGTTTTGACGGGCCTTTAACTGACTTGATACTTTATAACTAAGTCTTTGATTATGGATTTTTCTTTGGATCTTCAGGACAGTTACATTCTGTGCTATAGTAAGATCTGGACTATCATGTAACAATTTCCTTTGACATTAAAATATCCAGGAATGGAAGAGCTGCCATTTGAACATATTCTAATGGAATGAATGTGGAAGGATTACATTTAATTAATTACATTTAACTTGGGACCAGTGCGGCGGAATGGTCCTTTTTCTGGATGTGGGGATCCCCTTAAGTTTAACATGATCTGAGATAACCATAGATGAGAATTTTTTTTTTTTGAGACAGCGTCTCACTCTGTTGCCCGGGCTAGAGTGCCATGGTGTTAGCCTAGCTCACAGCAGCCTCAGACTTCTGGGCTCAAGTGATCCTCCTGCCTCAGCCTCCCGAGTAGCTGGGACTACAGGTGCGCACCACCATGCCTGGCTAATTTTTTCTATTTTAGTAGAGACAGGGTCTCGCTCTTGTTCAGGCTGGTCTCGAACTCCTGACCTCAAGTGATCCTCCCGCCCCTCCTCCCAGAGTGCTATCATTACAGGCGTGAGCCACCACACCCGGCCTGTAGATGAGAATTTTTGCACAGGAAATATTTTATTCTGGCCCTACATGGGCCAGAATGAAGGGTTAAAATGAAGCCAGAGATCTTCTCTTTAGCAAATTGCTGAACGTGGACATAGCACTTTTAGTGGATTGTAGAAAAGTAGTGGTTTTTCAGCAGAGCCACTTAGAGTTTTAGGTGCGTCAGTGGCCTTTTGTACAATAGGCAAGTTGGGCCAGGACTCTTCTTAAAAGTATTGTGTGTATAATAAATACAAAATTTAATTTTGAAAACCGCAGTAGTAAGACTGAGTTCAGGTATCTGGGTTTCAGAACAGGCTCCACTGTCAACTATTCATGATCTTTAAGGTACCTTTCAGCTTTAAGACAATAGCTTTTACTTCATAAAGAAAACTTTGATTTTATTCTATACTTTATTAATATGTTAGAATATATATT